GGATCCTCTGCCCTCTACTCAGGTTTCACAGATGGCTTTTAAAAAAAGAGTGTTCCTTAGCAGCTGCTGAATCCAGCAACAGTAATAGCAGAAAAAGGGCAAAAACATAAATGGTGAGAGTTACTAGGAACACAGAAGGACAAAGAGAATAGAAGTGTAAGTCGAGGGAATAAGGGAGGAAAACCAAAAAATGAAAGCTGACAGACTAATATAGCCCATAAAGATCTGGAAAGTAATTACACCTCTGAGTCAGAATCAATAAGGTTAATAAAATTCCCTCCTCTATCCTCACTGGAATTGATGAAGACATGGAAAAAAAATGCAGAAAACTATTTTTCACTGAAACTAGAGTGCCCAACTCATTTTCTGCTGGGGGGAACATCGAGCTTGGCTGCTACTGTAATACTTTCCTCTAATAGCATGGTTTATGGAACAGCAGTGACTGTCGAGTTTTCTGTAAAAGAAAGGCATTTCACAACAAGATTAGACCAAGCAAAAGCCTTACACTATACTGGAAAATAGCCAGTGAGCCAAACTAGACCATGACAAACAAAAGATTAATCAAATTGCAAACCTAAGGGTCAGAAGGCATGTTTATCTTCATTTTTGCCCACCAGAAGTAATTAAACTGAGTTCACTTTGACAGGCTAGAGACACATGCATGAATTCCAAGCACAACAGACATAATAGCTCCATTTGTTTATTACTACAAATTCACAAAAGAGGAGGGGCATCCAATTTAACTCAGAGGGCCAGAAGCAGCCAGAGGGAATTAAAGGAAACAAGAACCAGTGTTTGTATAACATCTCCTGATGATCATGAGGGATATAACATCACTACACCCATTTAAAAAGCTCAGCAGTCTCCACACATAATTAAATTACAGGGGACACAGATTAATTTCAGCTGTAGAAATAAAAGAAGTACAGGCAGTATTCCTCCCTGGAAACAGGAAGAATATGTGCTCACCAAGTATTGCTATTACCTGCCCAAACCATCACAGATTTGGAGAAAGCTGGGATGGTATCACTGAAACTTAAAATACGAGGTAAATACAAATTAGTCAGATATCAAATGTGCTAAAAAGGCAAGTTTATGTCAATTATATGCTTCTCAGAGAGAATGAGAACTCCCCAGGTGTGCCTCCCAAGTTCAGTGAAGGAGATAGTTTCAGCTATAGGTTTTCAGCTGTGTTTTGTACACCAGGATTTGTTCTGTGTGAATAGGAATCAATAAATGGCACTTGAGAATAATCTGCCTGTACATGATCACCAAAGCAACAGAAGACGTTGAGACATCACAGCAGTGTATATCTGAGATGGAAATCCACAAGGGGTTTCAAAAGCCTTTGAAAACCATCAATTACTGACACAGTGCTTTAATGCAATTAACAGGCAAGAATTCCCAAGCAGACACTTCACTGCATCAATGTGAGCCTCCAATTCAGATTGTACTTAAGTCTTTATAGATCTAACAGAGTTAGTGATTACTTCTAGAGTTGGCCCATGCAAGGTTTGAACTTTCACTTACTGCCTCTGGAGTCACCAGCCTGCTGACAGATGAGCACAGTAAATTCAGAGAACTTGAACTTGCTGCAGCCTGTCTCTAAATGTATCATGGATTATGGATCCCAGTTTATCATGGATTATGGATCCCAGTTTATCATGGATTATGGATCCCAGTTTATCATGGATTATGGATCCCAGTTCATCATGGATTATGGATCCCCTGCTCCTCCTGCACAGCGACACAGTTTGCTCCTTTAACTGTTTCCCCTCTCAGTTGATGAATTTCACGTGCTAGAAGAGAGCACAGCTCGGGAAGGATCCTTCAGCCCTGCTCACTGGGGCAACCTGCCACAGGCACCAGGATCCTGGCTCAGGAGACATTGCAGCACTGCCCTGCCAAAAAATACAAGCTGGAGGTGCCCTGAAGGAATCTGTACCTACCACACAAAAGCAGCCAACCCCAGGCTACCAACCATGCCTGTGCTTACCACAGCTACCTCACAATGAGTTGTGCCTATATTAGCACTACCTCCTACCACCTTTTATCATCTTTGAGTTTATAATTTCAGGAATCACTTAACTTTTGGTTCTGAAGTACATGTAAAATCTTGCAGAAGCTTTTCCCAGCTCAGGATCTAAAGATTAAGAATTCCATGCAGAGCATGAGCTCCTTGTCCATCATGTGTCATGAACACCCTTGTACCTCTAAAGATCCTTTAGAGCTGATGGAAGTGTTCAATTTGCAGGGAAAGAAAACGGTGTTGCTAAGGAACTGCAAAGGAAAAAAAGGCCAGAGTGTGGTAGCCTGAAATGAAATTATTTAAATTAATTGGCTGTTGATATGTTGGGTATTTGGCACATTATCAGCAACTCAGCAGGCTTTGTTTTAAATTTAGGCTGAAAGAACACTCAGAACATGATTGTACACTTAATTTAGGGATTAGCTCCATTCTCTCTTCTCACACAACAGACCCTGTTCATCTTTGTGAATTTCAGACAAAATTTTAAAAGCAAACCACATGCATATCAGTTTGAACTAGCATTATGCCTACAGTTATTGAGCCTCCTTTCCTTTTAAATGAAGACAAAGGGTAAGGATTCTCTCCAAATTTATTCTCACTGGTAGACCAACAGATGTACTTTTCCAGCAAGTACTGGCTTTCACACTTTGCTCATTTTGGCAGAGATCTAAGCCATTCACAGAACCAAATGTATTTCATTGTTTGTTTGTATTTTTCTTGTGCAACATTTTCACTTCAGGAAAATTGTTTGTAATCATTAAAGATTCCATTCAGTGGAAGATTTTTCAAGTTCTCAACTGAGAATTTCATTTCAATTATCTTAGAGAGCATTTCCTTTTCTTTCTCCTATTTTTTGAGACAGAGCTTTCCTGAGTGAAGGTTTTTTCCTCTTCTTTTACCTTTTTCCTTCACTTTACTGAAATACAAGAGAGTTAAGACTGCAGAGACCACATGTCTGGTGTGTTGACTTAAAAGATGTCAGGTAGCAAAGTAACAACCTCACCTTCCCCCTCTCTTATTGTGATTTTGGGGTTTTATGGCTGAACACTGGCTGATGAGCAGGCTTTGCTACGTGGTTGCCTCACAAAATAACAACAGCCAGCAAATGACAATATCTAACAACAATAAAACTTAACATTTTTATGAAACAAACAAACACAGGCTTTCCTGAGTGGTTTACAAGGAGCTGATTCACTGACCAAAATGAGGTGTGTGACCCTCCCATCTCCTCCTCACCCACCACTAACTCCTTGCATCCTTGCCAGTGCACTACCACTGATTTTCATTCGGTTGGCACCTAAAGGCTGAATTTATTGATTTTGCAATGTCTAGTTGATCAAATATAAGATAAGACCTCTCCCTCAAAATTCCATTTGTTTTAACTTTCTTGTGCTGGAAAATCACAAAACCCACTAGTTATGCTGTAACTATATAATTTTTTCCCTTGTAAATATTTATTTTTATTGGAGCATGAAAACTGCTGGATGAACACCATACAAGAATTGTTTCCATTAATACAATGAGCTTTACATACACAAGATAACTCCAACTCCAACTTCTATACAATTTTTGTCTGGTCATTGATTAAAAAAAAATTCAGACTCTTAAGCCTTTCCAAACACTGTTTTGGACAGTTATGAAGTAAAAACATTTAATATGCATTCTAAGCTTTTTGAGAGACACAGTACAGCAGGTGAGAATTGCAATGAAGGACACACCAGTATGTGTGCCCACAAGAGATAACATTCTTTTACCATAGTTCTTTCATCCCTTTTTGGGAAATGCAAAGCTTAAAGCCTTCACAGAAAATAACACAGGTGCTGCCCCATTCCCTGAATTCATGTCACATTTCACTTGTCACTCTTTTGTAACAGAAACTGAGAAAAATTTTAACCAAATAAAGTTAAAAAAACAAAACAAAAAAAACCCCTGCTACTGCAGATGAAAAACAAGAAAAAGGTAAAAGACAATTTTAAAGTAAAAAGTTCTCCAGCAGTGTGTTTTTTCTGAAATCTCAAGACACCCTTCACATAAGTAGATGGCACTGCCACTCACAGCTCAGCCGCTTATGCTCCCTCTTCTGTGCAGCAAATAATTGTAGTGCAGTCAGTGTGGTCCCTTTCCTCAAAATACTTCTTGTAATATTGTTACAAAGAGGATTCTTTCCTTTGTTTTCCATTTGTACAAGTGTTTTCCTTCTGAAGACACTGTTTTTATATTGCAGCTTTCCAAACTTTTGCTTTCCTGCTTTGCTGCCTCCTGAAAAGGCTCCAGAAAACCGGGGAAAAAAACATATATGGGTTCAATAAAGACTACAGGCCTTAGACACCATGAGATTATCACCAGTTAGGGGTTCCGACCTACAAAGTCCTTTGCCAAAAAATTAAGAAATTCTGTGAGCCTGTCATTTTGAAGCAGACTGAGCAGTAATTAGTGTCTCAGTAGATGATGGTTACTTCAGAACAGAGTTTCTATGTACTAACAGCTTTTAGTAACGGAAAAAACAACATATTCCAATGTGTTCTCAAAGGTCATTAGTTACCTCAAGAGCAGGAGCTGCCATTTGAGACCTTGTTGTTTGCAAAAAGTATTATTTGCCTTACCCTTATCTGCTCTACCCAACAGTGCCAACACACCCAGCATTCATTGCTAACCTGTTTGCCTGCCCTACAGAACCACTCAGTTCACTCTGGGAGCCCAAAACCCAGAAGCAGAGAGACTGAAGAGATTCACTTACCTCCACAGTGGTCTCAGCTGTACTATAAATAAAAATCAGGGAATTCAAGCAGGGGTGGGAGTTTGATAAAGAGAAAGAGCCCCTAAGCTTTGCACACGGAAAGCTTAGAGAATGGAAAGAAAACAGCCACTGGCCTTTTTTGAAGTCACTTACCTGCCAAGGCACCAGGACAGCACCCATCACACACTGGTGGTGAGTGCACAGGGAGGGGTGGAAGGACAGAAGCATGCTCACCGTGCACACGGAGGTCTGATCGCCAGGCTGCACCCTGTTCCGAGCCAGCAGCTGCTCCAGGAGGCCGGGGCTGTGCAGCAGCCAGGAGAACGCCAGCAGCAGCTCCCGGCTGCCCGCGGAGCCGTCGGCCGGCAGCCGCTGCAGCTGGGGCCGGCCGTAGCCGTGGTACCACAGCGCCCACTTCACAAAGCTCACCTGGGCACCTGCAAAGTGAAACAGCTGAGTAACAACTGAGAGTAACAGCTGAGAGCAACCGCTGAGAGCAACCGCTGAGAGTAACCGCTGAGAGTAACCGCTGTGAGTAACAGATGAGAGTAACAGAGTAATAGCTGACAGCAACCGCTGAGAGTAACTGCTGAGAGTAACCACTGAGAGTAACCACTGAGAGTAACCACTGAGAGCAACCGCTGAGAGTAACCACTGTGAGTAACAACAGAGTAACAGCTGAGAGCAATCGCTGAGAGTAACCGCTGAGAGTAACCACTGAGAGCAACCGCTGAGAGCAACCGCTGAGAGCAACCGCTGAGAATAACAGAGTAACAGCTGAGAGTAACAACTGAGAGCAACAGCTGAGAGCAACCGCTGAGAGCAACCGCTGAGAGTAACCGCTGAGAGTAACAGAGTAACAGCTGAGAGTAACCGCCGAGAGTAACCGCTGAGAGTAACCACTGAGAGTAACCACTGAGAGTAACCACTGAGAGCAACCGCTAAGAGTAACCACTGTGAGTAACAACAGAGTAACAGCTGAGAGCAATCGCTGAGAGTAACCGCTGAGAGTAACAACAGAGTGTCAGCTGCGAGCAACCACTGAGAGTAACAACAGAGTAACCGCCAAGAGTAACAGCTGAGAGTAACCGCTGAGAGTAACAGAGTAACAACAGAGTAACCGCTGAGAGTAACTGCTGAGAGTAACCACTGTGAGCAACCGCTGAGAGTAACAAGAGTAACAGGTGAGAGCAACCGCTGAGAGTAACCGCTGAGAGTAACAACAGAGTAACCGCTGAGAGTAACAGAGTAACAGCTGAGAGTAACAGCTGAGAGCAACCACTGAGTGTAACCGCTGTGAGTAACAGCTGAGAGTAACAACAGAGTAACAGCTGAGAGTAACAGAGTAACCACTGAGAGTAACAGCTGAGAGTTAACCGCCGAGAGTAATCGCTGAGTGTAACCGCCAAGAGAAACCACCAAGAGTAACAACAGAGTAACAGCTGAGAGTAACCACTGAGAGTAACCACTGAGAGTAACAGAGTAACAGCTGAGAGTAACCATGGAGAGTAACAACAGAGTAACTGCTGAGAGTAACTGCTGAGAGTAACAGAGTAACAGCTGAGGGTAACCGCTGAGAGTAACTGCTGAGAGTAACCGCTGAGAGTAACACTGCAGCAGCGCACTCACCCACGCAGCTCCACCACTGCGGCCTCCTTCGAGGGCAGCATTTCTAACCCAGCCTCAGGAAGACAGTGGGGACTTAGTCTTTATCAACTGTCCTTGCAGCCTTGCGTTAGAGATAGAAATGAGATGGAGGAGATGCTTGGTTTTTTTGTGTAGAATAGCTGAATCTTTATTGTACATAGCTAACTTTTATATGGTATTAGAAGGTACCATGTTTGAATTTAATAGGTTAGCAAATTATCGAAACTCAGTTGGTTGGTTGGTAATGGCTAATGTACATGTTGATCAAATTTTTTTCTTTCCAGATAGTTTATATTTTTTCTTCATGGATTCTCACAGGATAGACTTCTTATTTTTGTAGGTGCAAACTCCTTCTCATAAAAATAGACGGCTATGTAAACTGATTTTTATTTTTGTAATTTTTTTTTCTCATGGAAACTTAACAGGTTACTTTAGCCAGAGTAATAAGGTTTAAACCATTTTTCACAAGGCCTTTCTGTTATAAGGTTTTATCTATATGCAACAATCAACAACTGGTGAAGGACAGGAGGGAAAGGATAAAAGCCTTCTTTATACAGCCCCATTCTGATTACAGGAACTACTGCTCAGGGAAAAGAAGAAATTCAAAGTTGGGATCAAGACCAGTAATGGCCTCTTGGAAATTAACAAAGGCAACAAAGGCAACTAGCCACCCCCACTACAATGGGACTCCAATTCACCTATTCATTTTTTATGAGTCACCAAGCATGCTATGAATTAGCAAGCACTTTGAACCACTCCACTCTTGAACTAAACTGGAATTTAGAGATAGGAGTTTCACAGCCTGCTGCAAATCTCTGGGCGCCAGAGAGCAGAGATAATGCAGCACAGCACATGGGCTATTAAATTCTCAGGAATGCTCTGATCCATATTCCTTCACACCAGCAAATGGTACCTGACAGCTACAAGACAGGCACTGCAGGACTGTAAAATACTGGAGAAACACAGAGGAAGTTACTATTAAAAAAGGTTCTGCCCAATAAACCTTGGCTCTGTACTAAGTCAAAAACAGAATAAAGACCATAATTAGGGGGACAATGAAAACAACACATACTGGCTAGGAATCAACAGGTGTAAAAGGAAGACCTGCTCAGAAAGTTTCTGGAGCTCTCCAAGGGCAACAAAAAGCAAGTGATAAAGGAATATTCAACGAGTGCAAGACATTTAGACTTCCCACTGGGATTCAGCTTGCACAAAGAAACCAAGGCACTGCAGTGGAGAGAGAGGAAAAGCCTTGGATCAATGATAAGTACCCAGCAGACAAAAAACAGAGGGCCACGTGAAATAGTGGTTTCACGTGAGGGCTCTGTGCTAAACAACTGCTGTTCAAACAACTCAAAATGACACTTAGACAACGTGACAGTGACAGAAAACAAGGTGCTGATGTGATATTAGTAGTAAAGAATGCAAGCAGATCATGAAGGACTGCAGAACCTTGAGCCCAAGCTTTAAAAAGACAGATAAAAGTATTTTTAGAAAAATAATGAAAAATTATGTGCACAAAGAATGTTCCTAACTTTACTGACTTACAACATAAGACTGGACGTGGAACTGCACCGTGGGCTCAGGAACACAATCTCAGATTATGAGGTTTTTAATGACAGTATCACAATTGGTTCTGACAGGCATCCAAAGGCAAACTCAGTGTGAGAAACCTACCAAGGACACTGAACAGAACACAAATACCCACCATGACCCTTATTTCTTCTCTCCTATTAAGGCTACAGAAGATTTGGAAAGAAATGAACAGGAAGGACAAGTACAATGACAAGTACAGAACAGCTGCATTGTAAGAAGCAATGAAGTAGGCCAAGCAGAAGAGCAAGAATGGATATGACAAAACTCTTCAAAATCCTGAGTGCTGTGCAATGGGTGAAGAGTGGATGATTTGTTTGCACAACACTCAACACAAGAACTGTGAGCCAACAAAGTTAGCAAGCATGTGAGTCAAAACGTAAAAGAAATGCTTTTCACACACAGAGCAAAATTCTGAAATTGCTCACTATGGGTGGGACTCTGTGGACTCCTAAGAGTCACTCAGGCTCAAGGAGGAACTGGATTTACAGAACAACAGTTCATGGAAACTTATGAAACACAAACATATCCTCTCCGTATTGAAAAGTCTGAGATGTAAACTGCTGGAGGCTGAAGGAATATCCCCCCCATGCCATGAAACCATCCTTCTAGATTTGCTCTTTTCTTTCCTTTGGACAGCTGTCACAGATGGGTAGAGCTAGAGAAATCTACAGTTCCATGCAGTTCAGGCATTCCTACAAAGCAAAAGACCTAAATCACTGCATTTGCTCTTTCCACAGATCTGTGAATGAAACAAGCAGCTTCCCTTCCCCATGTCAGGGTGGCAGAAATGCCTATGGCCTCCTAAAAACCTTTCTGTAGATGTGCACTCCAATCCCTCAAGCACAAGAGGAGCATGGAGGTATTGCATATTTTATTTTGATAACTCGTGAACATTCTTATGTGAGCAGGGTTTTCATGTCATCCTTTCCTTTTCTGTGTGCATTTGTTAAGAAAGGAACTGCCATAACAGGTAAAAGCAGAAATCCTCCAAAAGGAAGGATGAACAGTACATGCTTTCCTCCTTTTTCAAAGCAAATAAGCATCACATGCTGCCATCTGCAGTTCAAGGAGCTCCTTAAAAGTGGAGGAAAGCAGAGCAGGTCAGGTGGATTTTTATTTTCTTTTATCACCATTTCCCTACTCTAATACATCACTCAGGCCAGATCCACCAAGGCAATTCAGCACCTGAATTTCAGAGTTGTTCTGGTCCTTTATCTCCCCCTCTTCCATGTCTCCCTCTGCAACACGCTACCCTCACAGGAGAGGGTACAGTTGTTGTACCAGGCAGGAATTGGGAGTGAGCAGTCAAGGCATGGATCTGGAACTGGGGCTCAAGGAGCCTTCCTGTGACCTTAGAGAAGTCCCTTAGTTTTCCGCATCTCTAGAGTGCTCAAGTTAGAAGGCAAAAGTATAAATGGCAGTAAAGGTTATGTGCGTACCCAGGACCAAGATGGATTCTTCCGTAACGTGACCAAGAGTGAGGAAAAAATATCACTCAGAGAGAAGATAACACCAGAACACCAGACACCTGTCTGACGTCTTCTTATGGCATTAGGATTAGGAAATTTATACAGAAAGACCTTCACAAGGCTTCCAACTAATCCCCTTTTCCACAGATATAAAGTACACTTTTATATTTATAAAAGTAAACTTGCCAAGTAAGACCAAGCTGGGGATGAACCTCAGGGTTCAGCTCACTTAAAACTATACTCTAGCTGTGCTCTTCTACTGTGTGTTCCAATAAATATTTTCAGTGATTTACAAGATGATATTCAAATAAGAGCTATGCACTAGCCTGGCAGGCTAACAGGAAAAGGAACTACAAACCCAGCACAAGCACAGACACAGATACATTACTTCATGCACTCAGACAAGGAACACCTGCATAGGGAGTGGGATTATGGGAAACTACCACTTCAGAAAAACATTTTCTGCTACATTTGTCAAACAAAAATCTATTGCAGCTCCAGACATTTTTCCCATGCTATAAAAACTGAACAGCAATCCCAGAAAATAAATGTGTTCTCCAACTGTCCAAATGCATATTGCACTGCTACCTGGTGTGGCTGTCAGGTTGTTAATCAAGTTCATCAGTCTCTGTGAAGAACAAGCAGCATGAAACCACTAATCACAATTTCATCAGCAAGGTCATGCCCAGAGTATTCACACAGCTTACTCTGACTCTCCACTGTCCAGTGACCCACTGCTGTGACATGTTTAAGGCAATGGATTTTACAGTAAGTTTACAGCAAGGTTTACAGTTAAGTGCTGTGGGGAGAAAAAGTTCTCACAGAACAAGAAACCAGGAGCCAGTTGCAGAATTTTATAACCACTGACTGGCAGGCTTCAGTGGGATTCCTGAAGTGGCCAAAGATCACTGTTTCCTTTTGAAAAACAAAGGATGCAAGATCACTGGAGAATGGCTTCTCTTTTCCAGAAAGTTTTTCTATGCTCACAGTAACCACTACACCAAAGGAGTCTTCGCAGCCTTCCTCTGGGATCTGGCAACTGCTGCTCTCCTTGTTTTAACCAAGGTAATTAAGAGGTTGTACAAAAAGACCAGAGAAAAGCAAAGCTTGATCTGTGGACTAAAGCACTCGACTTGGATTAGAGGAATCTGTTTCAATTCTCTATTGTGTAACAGGATCCTACAAAAACCTGAGAAAGTTATTTAGTGCCTATGCCCAAGGCTTATTTCATTTGCATTAAATACACAAGAGACCAGAGCTGGGGCAGAGAAGAAAAGCAGTAAAATATCGATTGTGTTCAGAGCAGACAACTCATTCACTTGCCAAGCAAAAGTAATTAGTGTCATTTGAAAAACAGTCCAGCACTCCAGCCTGAATTTCAGCTTTAATCACCAAGTTGTGACTAAAAAGGTTTCTCAAAAATCAGCTGAGCAGTTCTCAGCAGAATCACACATTGCTACCTCACAATAATACCAGTGGAGGCTGTGTTTGCTGTCTCCAGAGCCAGAGCCTGCCACTTGCATTTGGAAATTCTGTTCCCAAATGCTACAGGCAATTAGTATGGGAGCAGCCAGGATCCAATAAGGTTGCACATGTGCACGACCACATCCACAATGCTGTGGGAGACCATCAATAAATAGACTTGCCATACACAGCAGATTGTGGATGAGTGGAAAAATAAAAACAGCCAAATAAAAAATAGCAGTCCTGTGAGTAACAGAACTTCCTGCTGAGCTACCAGCTAAACTATGCTGGTGGTTTTGCTCTGCATTCCACAATGCTTAACCTTTCTTAATTCCATTTACAGAGCCACCAGGCTCACAGCTAATCAGGGGCTTATACAGTGCTGCTTAGGGTGTTTTGCTTTCAAGGGCAAAAGTGAATATTAAGTGGATTTAGTATGAAGAGACCTTGATTCATCACAATACAATTCTCATACAGTGAAAAGGCCCTAGATAGACATGTTTGAAGAGAGAAGATGGGGAGTAGTGTTTTACTTGGAACAACATACATTTAAGAAGTAAATAGTCTTCTGCTATTTTGGGAAGTCAATCTGTATTCAGCTCCTCTCTGGAGCAGTGGCCCTGTCCATAAAGATATTATTCGCAGTACCCCTGAAATAATCACACACAGTCCATTTTTTGTTTTGCCTAGAACTTCAATCCAAAACACTGCCTTTATGGCCCTCACGTTGCAATTCCTGTCTCTGACACAGGACTGGATAGAAAAGTACCAACAGAATCATGGTATGAACGGGAATGGGAAAAGAAGGAATCAAAGGAAAACCAAATCTGCTTCTGTCTTTGCAGATACTGAGAATGTATAACTTCATTGCAGAGATTTACCTGCAATAAAATGTCACAGGGATGCAAGAGCCTGTGGAAACATCCCAGTTTCCAAGACAAAGCACATCAAAGAGTAGCAAACCTGCCTCACAGCACATTTACTCATCAATAAACCTGACACCCAGTATGTTGGTGGCACGGGTGCTCAAAACAGAGCACTCACTACAGGGAAAAAGGAGCCAAAGGTGCTACAAAACCAGTCCCAGGACAGATGGAAACTGCAGTCAACCACAATGATGTTACCTATGGCATCAGACTCTGTCCACCTGCCCCCATGGATCTGCTTCAGAAGCACGTACAGCAGCTTCCAGAAGTCCAGGCTCTGCAAAAGAGAGGAGTGTAAGGGGAGATCAGCAGGAAAAATATCTGCCATATTATTTAGTCTTAATTAGGCAATTAAGCCCATATCTGAACATCACACACGGAACAGCACACCTGCTGATCCAGCCAACACCATCTGATCAGGCAGGTTCATGTATGCTCTTGTTCATGTTCCTACCTGATGAACACAGAATCTACAGAAAAGAGCACCCAGAGAGAAAAGGGTTAATGCTGGCTGTACAGCAACACCCAGCACTTCTACTGTGAGACCCATGTGTGAAGGAGCATTCCAAAATCTGCTCTGATACAACCACATATGGCACAGCTCACCCGTAGTCAAACAAGTGCCTGAACACACCAGTAAGATCTGACACGACAGTGTCAGAAACTCACAAAGAGGCACAACAGAATGAGCTGGAACTGGGAATCATTTCTTGGCTGCACAAGGACACCATGCTGACAAACTTAAATAGTGATTCTTACGGCTGGAATTTCAGTCAACACTCATAAAATCCTTAAAATAGCGGAGGAAGGGAGGTATCCTGTGTGCAAGCTGGAAGCCTCGGAGGCAAAGCAGCAAGACCCAAGCCCGGTACAGCAAAGGGCAGCAGGCAACACCGAGATGGTGTCGCAGACTAGAGTGCCTCGAGTTACAACCACAGTAAGGCACAGCCCTTCCCAGAGCGGAGAGTTTGCTGGGAGTTCCCTAACACGTGTCGGCTGGGTGCACACCGAACCGGGACCACACCGAACCGGGACCACAGCGACCCGGGACCACACCGCAGCCCCGCACGCAGGGCCTGCCCAAGGCTCGGTGCCCGTCGCACCGCCATGCAGGGCCTGTCCCCGGGCCCAGCCGGCCTCGGGTGTCCCGCAGGTGCCCTGTGCCTGTGCCCCGCAGGCTCTCCGGGCGGAGCGGCCGGCGCTCACCGCCTGCGGCCGGTCGAACCTGGCGCGGCGCAGGGTGTCGGGGGCGGGCCGGGCGCGGGGCGGCAGGGCCCGGCACAGCGCCCCGACGGCGGCGGGCAGCGCCGGGCCCCGCTCCCGGTGCTGCTCCCGGCGCTGCTCCCGGTGCTGTTCCCGGTGCTGTCCGCGCATCGCGCCGCTCCGGCCCCAGCGGGAGCGCCCTTCCGGGCCCGCCGCCCGCGGCAGCGCCCCCTGGCCGCGGGGAGGGGCACTGCGGGTGAGCCAGCCCTGCCTGCATGTCCCTGCACCTCCCTGCATAGCTCTGCATATCCCTGCATGTCCCTGCATCATCCTGCATGTCCCTGCAACTCCCTGCATCATCCTGCATGTCCCTGTACCTCCCTGCATCGCCCTGCATATCCCTGCATGTCCCTGCATCATCCTGCATGTCCCTTCATCATCCTGCATGTCCCTGCACCTCCCTGCATGTCCCTGCATCATCCTGCATGTCCCTGCACCTCCCTGCATCTCCCTGCACCTCCCTGCACCTCCCTGAATATCCCTGCACCTCCATGCATGTTCCTGCACCTCCCTGCACCTCCCTGCATGTCCCTGCATCGCTCTGGATGTCTCTGCATGTCCCTGCATGTCCCCGCACCTCCCGGACCTCCGGTGGTCCCGACCTGCGCGCATGGCTCAGGGCACAGAACGCTCCTGGCCTGCCCCGAGCAGTGACCCGCACATGCCGCCTCCCCAAGCCGTGGACACGCCTCCTGCCCCGGCAGAAAACACCCGGGGAAGCCCTGCGAGCTTCCCCCACCCTTCCTGGCGGACAGAGCTGTTGCAAAAGCCGGGTTTGCGATGGCAAAGGCCCAGCTGCGCCGCAGCTGGAGCGGCTGCTCAGACGATGGCAGCAGCAGTGCCCAGGGTGTTCCTGCCAGCCTCCTGCTCAGCGCGCTGCGGCCAGCTCGGCTCCCCAGGCCTTTAACCCCGACAGGCAGCGATCCCAGGGACTCATCCCTGGGGGGCCGTGGGGCAGGAGAAACGGAGCTCCTCTGGGGCAAAAGCCTGAGTTCCAGAGAGGTCTGCCCATGAGCAGGATTTACAGAATCCAAACCTGGCACAGAGATGGATTCCTGCCGTGCATTTACAGAGGGAGCACAGCTGCTCTGTGCCAGGGACACGGCTCTGCTCCGCCAGCACCGCGGGGATCCTGCCTGCGCCTGGACATGAGACCTGCTGGAAGCCCCCAGCATCATGGTTTCCAGCAGAAACCATGATGGTTTCTTGGCCAGTTCCCCAGCTCATAGCCCATTTAATATGCTCATTGTGGATCTAGCATGATGCATTTACTTTTTTTTCCACCAGTTCAATTCCAGTATCTGAACAACATGAAACAACACGTGAAATTCCTTCCCGCTACAGAACAGGCTCTTGCAGCCAAATGGCTGCTTACAATGAGGAGAGAAATCGCAGTGGTCCAAAGGGTCCTCGAACCAACGTGAACTGTGTTTGCACTCCTTCCCTCTGGTTGCTCCTCTCCTGCCTCCCACTCCTTTCCAGTGCTGAGCGCTGCTTTAGAGCTCTCCCCATCCTGTGGATCCTGGCTCCTGCTCCAGCCAGCCCTGAAAGGACCCCTGGGTGTGAGTTATCCAGGCTTAAGGATTTTTAAAATATCTTCTCTAGCAGCTGTTGTCTCACATCCTCCTTTCCTAATGACCTGGAAAGCATTTTCCTTATCCCTTGTCCAGTTCTAGCTCAGCAATCTGTATCCACTTCTTTGCTCTCCTTCCTAACAGGCTTGGCATTTCCACATGGTTCCTTTCCTTTGGTTTCCAACAGCCCATAAAGTCCCTTTTTACTGCCCAGAGCCTTATCGAACCAGGACAATCCTCTGCTGTCTTTGGCATCCTTCTTGGCTTTCCATGCCTTGCTGCTATCGGGCGCTGTCTGCTCCCTCCATGACACATCGCTTGTCTATTTTCCCGTCTCTGCTGCAGTCTCCAGGCAGGAGGACCTTCAGCTGCAGCCAATTTCCTGTGTTTTCTTGACCACTCCATAAACTCAGCTCAAAGCTATCCCTGTCCCCACACACATTCCTCTGTCTAGGCCTTTTCTCCTCAGGGCAGCTGCCGAGACAAGGGCTCTCCTGCATCGCCCGGTGCATGCACAGTGAATAGTTCTGTCCACCACCCCTCCTCTGGGCTCCTGTCCCCCAGCCAACCCCCAGGCCAGCGAACATCACCACTCAGCAGCTGGGATTCACGCCATCCCAGCACACCGAGAGCCCCTGTGCCACCTCTCCATCCCGCTGGCCAAACCAAATCCATGGCACCCAGCACAGGGCCGGCTGCCCTGCTGGCCAGCATCCCCCGCTCCCTTGTGCCGTGGCTCCCCTGGCACACAGCCCCATGGGCGCAGCTGGCCCAGGCCGCCTGGCGCTGTGCAGGGCTGGCACTCGGCCAGGGGCACGTTGGAGGCCAGGCAGAGCATCCCAGGCTGCCAGCATCCCAGCAGCACAGCGGGTGCTCGGTGCCGGCCCGCGAGGCCCCACTTATCTGCTCTGCCGGCTGTCGGGGCCGTGTTCCCAGCGTGGGAGAGGCCATGGGAAGGCAATGGTTTCCTGCTGAAGAGATGGACCGTGTGCTGTGGACAGACAATGGAGGTGACAGCCCCCAGCGTGCTGTCCCAGCAGGGCTGGCGATAGCACCCGGCTGGCAGCAGAGCCCTGCTGCATCCAGGCCACCCTCACATCCCCTCTCCCAAGCAATAGTGTCCTGGCAGATGGAAACCAGCAATGGCTGTCTGACATCAGCACACAACCCTGATGTCATCATGGAGATTGGAAGCCCCCAGGACCCTCTCTATAGAAAGGAAGCAGGACAGAGCTGGCTTATCAGCTGCTCCCTGGCTCCCAGGCGCTGAGGCAGATTCAGGGCAAGCATGGCAGTGAGGACAGCAATGGGAAGGGAAAGTCCAGGCACGTACTGGGGGGCAGGGATGCTTTAGCTGGGAAAGGTCTCTGGTTCCTGGGCCCGCGTGGTGCCACACAGCCGGCCATTTTCGGTGGATGTGTCAGCTGCGGTCATTTCCGTGCTGGGTGACTCAGTGGAGCCAGGGGCGCCTGTTTGCACCCGTGCCATGGCAACTCGCCACCACACAGGGCCCTGCTGCGCGCACAGGGCTGCCAGAGGGGGTGACGGCGGCCCTGTCCCATTGCCTCATGCCGATTGTACGCGATAGCAGCCATCCCTGTTTGCTCCCTGATGTCACCTCAGCCCGCTCTGCCAAGGGCAAGGTGTGAGCTCTCCTCCTGCACAAACAACTTCTTTGGGTCTTTTGGGTTTTTTTCTTAATGCTTTTATCCCCGTGAAGGCGTGGGCGGGAGCCAGCCTGTCTCCTGGCCAGGCCTCCAATCCAGGCATCAGCACTTCCCACGCTCCACCGCCAGCTCGGGTGGCCAGAGTTCCTCACCTCTCTCCTTCCCTCTCCTTTCCCTCTCCTACCTGCGCTGTGGTATCTGCTGAGCAGCTGTCAGAGCAGAGCACAGCTTCCCTCCCTCCCTCTGTCCCCTTCCATTGCTCGAGGGAGGCCTTGGGTGGCCGGAGCATTTCACACCCTGAGCAGGTAGTCAGGCTGCACCACTTTCTGCTGCAAACATTTCCAGCTCCTTCCCCGTGCCCTCCTGGCCCTTTTATACACACTTGTTCTTCCCTCACTGGGACATCAGGTTAAGCAGAGTGGGAAAAGGCATGACCTGGCAGCATGGCATGGTGCTGGCAGAAAGGAGCCAAGCAAGCACAGGGCTGTGAAGACAGACTGCCTGCATAGATGGGCTGCAGCAATACTGTCATGACTCCACAAGGCTCTGGTGCAGGTTTTCCTGGACACAGGCATTTAGTCAGCAGCAAAGCCTGTGTGTGGGCTGTAGCACCAAAATTCAAGGTCAGCTCCCAGCAGCTGGATGGTTAATAAAAATGTTTGTATTTCAGGCGCTCTTATGCAGGGCTTTCAGTATAAGTGAATTGGGAACAATTAGAAAAGAGGTCTGAGGTCTCAGCAACTCTCTTGTCTGGAGTTTCACCCTTTTTACTCTAATAGCCAAGCTTCTCTGCACAGAGGGAAACTCCCTCTGACCTCCTCCCCCAGGGCCTTTAACACAAGACTCACCAAATGAAGACAGAGGCTTCAGAGGGAAGTCCGTGCACCCTTCCCTCTTGGAAACTCTCCCTGTTTCGTTGAAAATAACACAAGAGATGTGAAAGCAAAATTCACCTCTAGGTGCCTGATGACAACTTTTCTGCTTCTACTCCTTGCTTGGGCAAGCCACCCAGGACCTGATTAAACAACTCCAGGGCTTTCTGCACCCAGCTGCTCTCCAGCACTGGATCACCAGTGGTAGGAAGGGGTGACAGTAGAGCAGTCTGTGCCCTCCTCTTCTTGCTGCCTAGCTAGATTTTGTTTCCAGTACCTCAGTTCATGGTCCCATTCACTTCCTGTTACACCCCCGGCTGTCATACCCTGACTTCAGTATCTTCAGTGTTTGCTGGAGGTGTTGTTCCCCATCAGGAAGAAGGTTTGACCCCCCCTTTTTCACCTCTGCAGAGCTGTTTCCGTTGCTGAGATGGGGGTTCCCCAAACCACTACTGCAGAGCTGGATGGGAAGTCCCATCTCCCCACGCGATCTGCCAGAGTTCCTGCTGCCTGACATCCGCTGCACAGCCCCTCTTACCACACTGGCTGCATAAGAAGGCAGATTTCTGAGGCATTAGGAGATGGGCAGATGCTTTTTTGACCTAAAATATGTCAGAGCTCTTTAAGCTTAACACAAATCAGCCTTAAAAATCCGCAAAGCAGTGGCACACTGGACACCACCCAGCTCGAGCCCAGCTTCATCCTCGTGAGCTCTGCACAGCAAAGGGCAGGAAGCTCCTGCAGCCACAGCCCCTGTGCCACTCTGCCCCAGCCAGAGGCTGCACAAACCACCTCAAGGGAAGTGGTAGAAGCATCACATCATTGTCCCCATCAGCGCTGGCAGGAAAGGGTGAGTGGCCCCGTTGGTGCCCTATCAAGGTAGCATTGACCCGGGCACCCAGCACATGGTAGTCCAGATGTGACCTCAAGGCTGCAGCCACACTGCCAAAACACAGCCCTGTCCAGGGGCCGAGCCCACTGCCCTCCCTCAGCATGACCCTGAGGAGAAGCCT